TGTCTGGGTGACAGCAAATTCCTCTCTCTCATCAGCAGCTCCGCCGATGGCAGCCTGAAGGAGAGCAGAGCAGCTTTAGTGAACCTCCACCTGCAAGGAGTTTGCTTCCTAAAATAGCTGCAGAGCTGTGGGGTATTTTTATAGCAGCCACACAGGCATTCTCTGTTCTGAAGGACTGGAGAGAGGACTTTCAAGTGTTGGCTTGAGTGTGAATTGATAGAATTCTGCCTGAGTTTGAGGAGAGTCTGGAACAGTAACCCTGGGAAGGGTTAAGTACCTGCCTAATCTTGAATGGACTTTAAATGTGATCTCATGTAAGCATAACCCTGTGAAGACCCTTCACTGCTGGTAGCTTTTCTAGGAATGTCAGGCTTTAGTAGGCATCACGTGCATTATCATAACAATCCCAATATTTAACAAGGTCTCTCTATCAGTAATGGAGTTATTTTAGCATTTCTATCTTCTTGTTACAGGAAGTGTGGAAAAGGGAACAGTGGGGACTGGTCTTGAACAAGAGGACACAGTCCTAAGCTGCGCCAAGGGAGATATAGGCTAGAATTAAGGAGGAAGTTTTTCACAGAAAGAGTGGTCAAATGCTGGAATCATCTACCCAGGGAGGTGGTGGAGTCACCATCCCTCGATGTGTTTAAAAAAAGACTGGATGTGGCCCTTGGTGCCATGATCTAGTTGAGGTGTTAGAACATGGGTTGGACTCGATGATCTTAAAGGTATCTTCCAACCTAGTAATTGTGATTCTGTGATTGTTTAGACCAGTCTGAATGTAGTGTTTCAATATGAACAAATATAATAGTTCACAGAACTATTGAGGTTGAAAGAGACCTTCAAGATCATCCAGTCCAACTGCCAACCCCACACAACCACAGTCAGCCCTAAATCATCTCCCCAAGTGCCACATCCCAACACCTCTTGAATACTTCCAGAGACAATGTCTCACCACCTCCTTGGGCAACTTATTCTAATGCCTAACCACTCTGCCAGTGATTTTTTTTTTCTAATATCTGATCTGAACCTCCACTGGTGCCATTTAAGGCCATTTTCTCTCAGCCTTTCTCTATCGACGCAGCAGAAGAGACCAGCCCCACCTCACTACAACCTCTTGTCTGTGCTAAAGAGCAGTGAGGTCTCTTTGAGCTTCCTCTTTCTCCACAACCCGAGTTCCTGAGCTGCTCCTCATAGGACATGTCTTCTAGGCCCTTCACCAACTTGGTTGCATGTCTCTGGACATGCTCCAGCACCTCAACATCCTTTCAGAAGTGATGGGCTCAAAACTGAGCACTGCACTTGAGATGTGTCCTCACCAATGCCCAGCACAGGGGGACAATCCCTTCCCTGAAACTGCTGGCCACGCTATTGCTGATGCAGGCCACAATTCCATTTGCCTTCTTGGCCACCTGGGCACACTGCTGGCTCATTCCCAGCTGGTTGTCAACCCCCAGGTCTCTGTACTGAGCAGCCTCTGAAAGCACCCTGCCCCCAAATGCTCAGGGCTGTTGTGACCCCAGTGTGGTTGTGTGACAGCTCCAGGCTGGCCAAGGCCAGTTTCTCCACCCGTCCCCACTGCTGTTTCTTCACCTGTTTGCGCCTGGCCATGTGCCAGCTCCTGTGTGAGGAGTGCCCTGGCTGAGGAGAGCAACAAAGGGTCATGACAACTGCAGAGGAGCGTGTGCTGCTTTGGGAAGATGAAGGCTGCTTAAATTAGAAGCATCAAGGACAGTCCCTGCCTTGCTGTTTCTGCTGGAAGTCAAGGAACTGTTGGGCATCCCTGTGCCCTGCAGTCACACCAGGAGGAGTGACTGGGTTTCAGCAGCCATTAGGTTACATTAACCAAGATGAAGTTTCACTTTGCTTCTATAGTGACCTGGCTGAGATATCAGAGGTGGGTCTGGATGGAAAGCAGAGCATCCTTGTGTCAGAGCTCTCCTGGGAGTGCCCTCTGCTCCCTTGGTGGGGGTGTGTGTGTGCTGTGGAAGTGTGGACGTGAGGACATGGTCTTGGCAGGCCAGGAGAGCTCAGAGGTCACCCAGGAGGTGCAGAGGAATGTTTCCCAAAGCAGAGGGATGTGCTGGGTGGCTGTGCAAGAGGAGCTTTACCTGCAGGACTGGCTGAGTGACATGGGCACACCTGCACGTTTGGCCCTGGGCACTGAAGCAGCCCCACAAGGATTTGATTCCAGTGGAGTTTGAAGTGAGCCTGGTCTGGCTCAGGGGTATCAGGACCCAGCGCTTTCCCTGAGGGATATTTTTGTCACGAGTGCTCTCAGAGTGTATCAGGGTGTCAGTCTGGCATTGAGGTACCCACATCTCTTGGGGCCAAGGTGGGGATGGTGTCAGCTGGCACCCTGAGGGTGGGCAGGCCCGTTCCTGACTTCCCTGGAGCCACCATTCTGCTGCAAAGAATTTGCAGGAGCCACCTCCTAGGGAATATAGCTCCTCTGCAGCTGGTGCTTCCTCCACCCCAGCCCCTTCTTGAATATCAGGCATTTGGCCTGTCCAGGGACTCAGATTAACCCTTTCCCTTACCTGGTGCCCTGCTTATTTTCACATCCCTGACTGCTGGATTTCAACCAGGGGCCTTCAGTGCAAAGACAGTGCTGTTTATTTTTAATCTGTGGCACTGCGGGAACATTAATTAGGACTGATAATAAGGGACACAAACCTATTGGCATCCTTCTTGGTGGTATCATTGAGGAATGCTGGCATGGTGACAGCTCAACTTCTGTTTTCCGTACCTGAAACACACACTAGCCAGTAAACATGTTGAGAAAATAGGAAATATCTCATTGATTTCTAAATGTGTCCATCCCTGTGCACAGAAGTTGCTGTCTTGGCTGCTGTGTGCCCATGAAATGGGAACATTTGTTATTTATGGGCAAAATAAGGGCTGTTCTATTTGTGTTGTGATGGTGCAATGTTCTAAGTGTTTGGGCAGCCCAAACACTGCTGGTGGCATGGTAACTAGAGGAGCAAAACTTGGGAGCCTGGGGATGTAGCTAGCCCATGGTGGTATATTTGTAACAGCAGGTTCTACCCACAAAATACCCCTGTGGTTAAATGTGCTCAGGGGAGTGGATGTGCGGGCATTTCTGGAGGTAACCTGAGTCCTGGCAAGAACTCCTGACCATCACTAAGAGCCTTTCCATTTATTTCAGTGGCTGCTTTGTGGAGCATGAGAGTTAATTCTGTGGGTAAATGGCTTTTCCATGAGGAAAGCAGCATCACCAAATCAGGGCCCAGGATGTCCTGTGGGAGCCTCCCAGGTCATGGTGGCAGCTCTGGGGCTGTTCCCCGGAGTGTAGCCTGGATTCTGTCAGGAATTCTGGCACATCTGGGATAGCCTGTGCTCTGTGATGGTCACACCACTGCTGCAGCAGATCCAGAGAAGGAACAGAAGGATGTAACAGCCAGGTCTGACTGTGGCTGTCCTGGTAAGGGGAGACAGAAGGAGCTTTGGTGATTCCAGGGGAGCAGCTGCTCCCCTGGAATATGGCAGGGTTTGTTAAAGAGGAGCCAACAATTCAACAATTAAATTGCTTTACTATTCCCCTGACAATCAGGAAACCCCACAACATGGGAAGCTTCACCCTTTCCTGTGTCATTTAATGGTAAACTTCAATAATGAAACCCAAACCCCAAATCCCACATAATGTCATTATATTAATAAATGAAGTTCATCCATTCCACATAATATCTCCTGGTGCTACAGAGGGTTTCTCCCCTCCTTTTGCCTTTGTTCTCTTTATTGAGTTGAGCATCCTTGCACTGCATCAGGAGGAGTAAATAACCTCAGTTATCCATCTTTGTTGCAAAAGAAACAATTCCAGCCTTTCCAGTCCCTCTTATGGATCCTCCCCAGTGCACTTCCCCTTTCCCTGTCCTTCTCTCTCCCCTCCTGCCTTTGTGTCTCCCTTTTGACAAAGAATGACCAGAAGCACATGTAATGATCCAGGCTGGGGATTGCTGCTGCTGAGGTACCTAATAGGATTATAGGATTTTCAGCATTAATCCTTATCCTATTCTTTAGGCAGTCTAACCTTTTACTTAGATTTTTGCCTCCTGTTGCACAATTATTTGACTCTTCAGTGATTTCTTTACAGCTGCTGTTTTGTCCTTTTTTTCAAGGTGATTGTAATTGGTGTAGGCCTCCAGCACAGAGCAGTGTAAGAACTGTCAGGCTGTTGTGGTTATTTGTTTAGTGCTGCAAGTGAGCTTTTCCTGGCTCCCTGATGGATGTCACCTTGTCTCTCTCTGTGCCCTGAGGGTGTCTGCTTGCTTTAGCCCAGACTGCAGAACATTTCTGTAGCCTTAAATGTAGCAGCTACATCAAGCTTTGGGAAGTTTGATGATCAGGATATCTGCTTCTGCACAGAAGGTAAAAGGGACAAGGCTTTCTTGGGTACACAGCTCATTCAAAGAAGCTTTGAAAGATGGAAATGGGTGGGGAGTGGGTTGATGCTGGTTTCCTAAGGAAATGAGACTTAAGTTGTCTGTTTTTCCACTGCTGCAAAACGTTTGGATCTGCAAAGTGGTTGTGGCCAAAACAGATGGGTCAGAGAGGTTTCAAATGAAAATTTCCTACATTATTCCTAAGAATTAGCTGCTGGATAGGAGACTGTTTTACAGCACTGTCTGCCAGGAGGTAAAAGCTGCTGTGCTGACTCCATAGGGAGGTCATTGATTTGGCTGGCCAGCCCCAGACAGACAGACAGACAGACAGAGCCTGTAACACAGAAAGAGTCTCAGCACATCTGATCCCAGCTCAGCTGGCAGCTGTGGGAGGGATCTGGGGGGCAGTGCTGTGATTTTGGGGAGGTGGGGAGAAAGCTGAAGGTGCTGTGATCTGTTCAGGGAACATCAGAGGCGTGGCAGAAGGAGGACACAGAGATGAGGAGCACTGGGGAATGATGTGGCTGGAATTGGGCTGCAGTCTCAGACTGGGGCTGTCGGGATGAGGGAACAGCTTGTTTTGGAGGCAGGGAACTGATGGGCAATGAGGAGCAAGGAGCACAGGAGCTCCAGGGTGTGGGAGAACAAATGCAGGGAACAGCAGAGGAAGAGGGCGGTGGCACTGCAGGCATTGAAGGAGGGGAGGGACTGAGGTAGGATGTGATAAAAGAGCAAACCAGCAGGGGTTAGGAGCAACGTTTTCAGGCATGGAAAGCAGAGATAAGTGACTTCAGCTTGTTAGGCTGGGAGTGGGGGTGATGGGGACAGGGGAGAGGGGTTTAAACATCCAGGTGGGGTAGGGAGCACACGGAGGTGGGAAGGAGACTTGGGCAAGAAAGACTTGATGGCTTTCAAGGGACAAAGGGTCAGCCTCAGGTTTGTGTGTAGCGTGCAGAAGGAGTGATTTGGCAGCATTCTGAGCATGGAGATGAAGGAAGGCAGGAATCAACAATAACTTTAATTATGCAGGAAGCTTGGATGAGGGGGAAGTGAGAATTATTGTCTTCAGCAGGGTAGAGGAACTGAGGGAAGAGATGCAGGGTTGATGTGTGTGTTGGAATTAAATCAATTGTACTCAACCCTGATCCAAGGCCAAGTGAAGACAGTAACTTCAAGAGACTTTTTGGAATATCCCTATACACAAATATTTGTCTTAAAACCCCTGAATATGCTTTACAGAAATGCCCAAACATATTTTGTCTTCCATTTGTAGAGTGTACCCCGAGATTGTGACCCCAAGCCACTTAGGAAGCCACAGGAGTGACAAGACAGGGTTCCAACATTCCTTAAAACAATTTTCAGTCTGGTAAACCACAGCAGTAATAAATGTCCATATATGCACACAACACACTGCAAGGCAAATCAGTGAAACTCTGAATCTCCAGTTTAGGGAGATCACATCACCTTATTAACTGTCCCTTGCTCTGCACATGCAGAATTATTGCAATTTCCTTCCCTCGCAGGATTTACTTTTCCAAGTATTTATTGTCTGCAACTAATTATTTTATGCTATTCCTATAAACCATTTGCTTCTTCAGGATCCAGTGACTTTCTGTTACCAGCAGAAACTGAGGAAATGAATATCAATCATTCAGTGATTACTTGCAGGAAATAAAAGTGTGAGATAGCAGCCAGCCTAGGCCAAGAAGGAAGAACAGCATTGCAGTGCATTTTATAAGGAGAGCCAAAAATATTTTTCATGTGCTCAGCTGTTATTTTCTGAGTATTGTAGCTTTCTTCCTTTTGTGAACTCTTCCTTCTTTGGATTAGGTCCTGCTGCCACTGAACTGGGAATATTTGTTATTATATCTCAGTGAGAGCAGGACCAAGCCACTGTGTGTGTGCTCATCCTTGCCTTAACCCTTGTTGCTGTTTGGTGGGATACTGCAAGGGACAAAACTCCTTCTGGTTTCCCAGGATCTTTCTGAGTGTTTGTATCTGATCCTTGCAGATAGCACAAGCCCCTCTGAGCGAGATAGGTTTGGAGCTGACTGCTGCCAGCAAAGCTTTTGGAAACCAGTGGGAAGCCTCTGTAAAATGTTGGATCTCCTCAGTCAGTAGCTGCTTTTCTGAAGTCTGCATTGTGCTTCAGGTTCTGCTAAGCCATGCTACAGTGAGCATGATGAATAGCAGGCAAATTGCCTTTGGTCCCTGCTTTGGAAATCAAGATGTGTGCTGGCTCACCCCATTCTTTCATAAATACCTTCCTGAGCTCCGGGAAGGAGGATGCTGCACCGTATCCCAGAGTGTTAATTTTTAATGTCTTCTGCACATAATGGACTTGACTGTAATTATGAGTCCCTCAGCACACAGTCACTGCTGGCAGGGTGGAAAAAGATGGCTCTGGGTCCATGTGGCTCCACAATTAGGGATTGAAACATTGATCATTTTCATTCCCAGGAGCAGAGGAAACAGTTGTGTGAATTAAAAGAAAAAGCTTCGGCGGAAGGATGGGTAGTTGCAAGCCAGTAAACATTACCCTGCAATCTATTAAATTTAGACTTTGCAGCATCATGCTCCTGCTTTGAATAAAACTGACTGAAACCTGGGCAGGGCAAAGTGGTTTTGACAAGCCTATGCTTACGTCCAGAATAATCCAAGTGAATAAGCATGTAGGCAGTGATGCAGAGAGAACCCAGGATAAAAAATTCTCCACGTGTTTTTCTCAGTAGTGCTATTTTTAACTTACAGATCCCTGTTTCTTTCTTACATGAAATCTTGAAGCTGACAGCATCCCTTTCAGGCTTGAAAATGAAAGGAAGCTGTCTGAAAGAGCAACAGAGCTGGGATTTTTAGGCCTGATCATGTTGGCATATCTTGGTGGGCAGATTCCTTCTCCTTTCATGAGGCCAAATTGACTTTACTGAACAGTGCAAGGTTCTTCCCTGTACCAGGTTTAATGTGGGATAAGGCACCCAAACCCTTGCACCACTAGAACCTGAATCCTGCTTTATCATCTGCCAGCTTTTCAGAGTGCTGAATAGAGGTGGAAGGGATTTTAGACCAATAATTCTCTCTCTGAAAGCAATACTCCCATATTCCTGGTGTTGCAGTAGATTGTTTCAAGATCAGACTTTTAATTTCCTTTTGAAAGTGTGGTGGTGGCCTTTTTTGTTTGGTTTGGTTATTTTGCTTGGTGTGTAACTCACAAGGTACAGCTTTGGAAACCATTTGAAAAGGAAAATCAGCCTGAATCTCTGCTCTTCATTCAAGTCAGTGGCCATAGCTGCTCTGAATTCAGTGATGCAAAATCACTCCTGTGCTGTACTTAGTGCACTGAAGCTTAAATCAAATCCTAACACATTTTACCAGTGCAAAACCCACATTTAAAACACAGGGGGGAAAAAAATCTTTCCCTGTGACAGGAAATCAATTTAATCCCTTTATTGTTTGTTTGTTTTTTCCAGGCTTATATTTGGCACACTTTACCCCGCATATTATTCCTACAAAGCCGTGAAATCAAAGGACATCAAAGAATATGTGAGTAATGAGGTTTGTGGCTGTTCTGGGGGGTTGTTTTCTGAGATTGCTCCTCACCAGCTTGGAAAGGTGTTGTCTGTATTCTGGGAAAGCTCATAGAGGGGCAGACTGGCCTGAAGGTGGGCTGGGTGCTTGCTGGGCACAAATGAGCCTTGGGTTTGTGCTCCTGGCTCCTTGGCAATGCCTGCTGCTCCTCTGGTGGTGAGATACACAGCTGGCTCAAAGGCATTTGGCATCCAGAGCTTTGTGTGCTCTTCTTTGTTTCTGAAGAGCAGCATAAATCAAAGGCTTTTCAAAAAGCCTTGAAGCTTTAGCTGCTCATTCAAAACAAGGATAAGAGGAGGCAGCTAGAAGTGCATCTGACTGAATCCTCAGGCAGAAACATCCTTCCTCGCAGGGCGACCTATTTACAGGCAGGTCTGGCAGCTGGGTCTGCTCTCTTTTTGCTTTTTGCTGGAAAATCTTCCCTGGGCCCTGGTTTCTAAAGGCATATGGGGCCATCAGGGAAAGTGAAATGAGGGAGAATCAAAAGCACTTGGATGCTGTTGGGGTCCTGTGGGATTTGTAGTGCCCTTCACAACCTGAGCTCTTTTAACTTCATTGAGCCCAGCTCAGCCTCCAGATCCTGACTCTCCAATCCTCTCAAGATCCCAGGGATAACAAGGCCATTTTCTCATCTGGATAAAAGCATACATGTCTATCTCATTAAATCTTTAGTGCAAACTCAATCTGGGACTCACTGTGGCTGCTAAGAGTTCTGTTCATAATTTTCCTCGTTCAGAAAATGGTTTGGGGTATTTTGAGAATCATAAGTGTCACAGAACACAGCAGATACTTAAGGTAAAATGTCTCTGCAGCCCTTGCACAGCTGAGTTTCTCAGGGCCTCTTTGCCTGAAAATGCTGAAGATGTGCACAAGCATCTCCAAGCAGTGTCTGCCACTCATAATTTATGTTTCCATAGTCCCTTACTGAAAGGTATTTTGTTGAAGGGTCCAATTCCTGTTGGAAATTGAATTGGAAAAGAGGAACTCACATCAGACACTTGTGCTTGTGACGCAGATGTGGAACAGCTGATCTGACCTGGTCTGCCCTTACCATTGATTTCAGTTTAATTTAGCAGTTGTGGCAATGTATCCATTAAGGCCTGATTAAAAAAAAATAATAAATGAAGTAATAATTTACACTGACACAGGAGGAACCTTTACTTATTAATCAAAACTTACATCACTCTAATTTTATTCTGCTTGGTAATGGTAATTTTGATGAATGCTTTAGGCTGATCCAAGCCCATCCACACCAGGTCTTGGTTTGTGTTTAAAAGTTTTGCTGGCAGCAATGTCCAAGTGAGAGAGCCACGTTGGCACTGAGGCTCTGAGGAGCCACAGTTACACAACAAATCTGGCAGAAGCTGCACTGGGAAGATGATGCTCTCAGGCATTTGGCAGTGCCATTATTGTTGTAACACTACATATAGATATAAATATGCACATAAATATAAATCCCAGGAGAGCAGTTAGGTAGCAGAGTGACAGGTGCTCAGGGAATCATTCCAGTACTTACAGGGAGATGGAGACTATCAGTACTGCCCCACTGTATCAGGGAGAAGATGGGGACATCATTTCCATGCTGGTGAGATCCAGATTTATTGATGCTTCCATCTTCCATTCCCCAGAGCAGCACCTGCTGTAGGTGTCCCTCACGTGCTGTCCCTCCAGCCTTTCCTTACCTATTGCAATTGTTCCAGCCTTAACTGACATGGTCCAATTCTCTAATTCATGGATTTTCATGGATTTTCATGGATTTTCATGGGTTTTACTTCCTTAAGCCTTTTAACATTCCAGCAAAGCTGCTTAGAGATCTCCATTTTCAAATACACCCAATTAAACAACTGTTGTCAGTTAAATTAACTACCTTTGCCTCACCATCTTTTTCCATCCTAAGAAGAGCCAATACTACATACTTCAGAATAGCTGAGCTGTGCTTTTAGGTGCCATTAGTGCTCAGTGACAAACATTTCCAAATTCCTGAATTACTTGAGGTGCTGCAGTTTATCTGACCGAGTCACCATCCCCAAAGACTCCCTTGCTGTCACCCCAAAGGAAACCATCATCCTGGCAGTGGGGTTTCTCCAGATGAACAGAGAGCACAGCACATGCTAGTGTGAGATAAAACATTCCACCCTAAGCCCAAGCCAAGGGATTCAAACTATTGCCCTTGTCCCTGCACTGGGTGTGGGTGGGAGCAGGCACAGCCACCCCAGGGCAGTGAGTCAGTGAGTTGTGGTGAGTTAATTGTGCTCCTGAGCCCTGAATTATGGGATGGGCAGTTACCTCTTTACCTTTTGCTGGCTGTAGGTATTATGTAAGTAATTACATTTTGTCTTAGCTGGAGTTTGGCCAACAACCTTCTATTAATATTTGCTATTAACTGAGCCAGGTGAGATTTTTAATGCCCTGTGATAGGGCTGTCATGCTCTGCTGGCCAGAGGAGTTTCTGTAAGGACAGAGTCAGGCTGTGCTCTTCTTTTCCTGAGAGCAGTCCTAAAGGCCACAGTCACCTTCCCAAGGCTGTGTAAATCTGACACGTGTTATGTGCTGAAGTGGGGCAAACTGGCACCTTCAAGTCCACAGTAATTGCTAAATACACAGTGGGGAGGGTGAGGGGGTAAGGATTTCTTTTCCTGTGCGAGTTATTCTGTGCACTTGTGCCTGTAAGAGATAGTTTGAGGCTGTTTTTGTTTACCAGGTCAAGTGGATGATGTACTGGATCATATTCGCGCTCTTCACGACAGCAGAGACGTTCACGGATATCTTTCTTTGCTGGTAAGCACCAGGGGGAGAGGCTCTTTGGCATGAGATGAAAAGAAAATGGAAATGTTTACAAGGAGAAAAAAATGGCACACAAAAGTACACTGACTCCTGCACAGGGGTTCAGCAGCTTCAAGTGCATAGAGGGTTTTTGTCTGCAGGAGACATGGTTCCTTTCTCAGTGCTGTCACAGAGAAAAGAAAGAAGTGGAAAGGCTCAGTGGTATCTCATTAGTGGGAAATCATTACTGGAGTGTCAGCCCTGCCTGTCAGAGAGGCACAGCTGACTGCCCAGTTGGATGCTGCAGAGGTCATCACATAAATAACAGTTGATTTAGCTACAGGCAGAGTTTAGACTTGCCTGGCTGTATCCTACAGTAAATACGCAGTGAGGATCAGGTGCAAACAGCCCTGCAGCACAAGCACAAGTAGGTTGCTGTGTGGGTGGTTGTTCCTGGGATGCTTTGCCTGGCATGTTCCTGGTTAGGCTGGGTTTCTGGTTTGATGGAGGACAGTGACAGTCAGCACTGATGTGGCTCTCTGGTGCCAGTGGAACGATTCCTGGTGGCCTCTGTCAGGATGGGAGTACAGAAATGCCCATTTATCAGTTTCAGTGGTTTTTGGATGCTCAGGTTTGAAAGTGTTTGTCGCTTGGTTGGCAACAAGGCCTTTCTACCAGAAATCTGTAGATTTAGGATGAAAATGTGTCTGTAGTGCATGGCCCCTACAGCCTATTCCTGCACAGCACTGCCTGCCTTGAGTGAGTCCTCCAGATGAAGGAAATCAGGAGAACTTGGCAACATGTCAGATCTATTGAAAAGGAGATAAGACATTAATGCTCATCTAATTTGCATGCAGATCTACCTCTCCTGTGCTCATCTGGAGCTTTGTGGTTTGTTTGGAGGATGAATTCTATGAGACTGCCAAGAGAAATGGCAGAGGGCTCATGTGAAATCGAGTGTGCTTAGAGATCCTCAGTGGGGTGGGAGATGAACCTGGCCCATCCATGCTCAGAGCAGAGCATTGCAGAGGCCCCTGGTGTCAGACCTGTGTGCTGGCTGGCCCAGGGACAGCACTGTGTGGCACAGCAGGAGCCTCTCCGGGTCAGCACCACAGCTCTCTGCACTGCTCTTGCTTGCAAAGAACAACAATTGTTCCTCACACTGCTGGCAGCAACATGCCTGCCCACGTGGAGATGCTGCTGGGTGGCCAGTCTTGAGCTCTGGGCTCTGTCCTCCAGAAAAGAGTCTGGATAACTTAATTTCAGGATATCCCTCGCTAAAGCATGCCCTGTTGTTGATGTCCTCCATATTTTGCAGCTTTACCTGAAAGTCAGTGTGGATCTGCAACTTTATGTTGCTTGGACCACAAAGGTTCTTGTATTTCAATTTTAGACATGTAAGTGTTAGCTTAAAAGCTGAGAAGAGATGGAAAGTACATAAATACATATCAATGAAATATTGGTTTCCTGGTTTGATCTTTGCTTTCTCACAATGACGGGGGATACTGTGAAGACAGCACCTGTGATCTTTGCATATAGAAAGCTCCTCTTATCACATGTCAGAGTCTCTTCCAGATCATTAAATAATGGGCCTGATAACCAAGTAAAGATTCACCCAAATGTATCATTGACATGTGCTCAAAACTGAGTCAATGCACTTTAATCCTTAGATTTTTTTGGTAAGCAAAAGCTGCCTTGAGCTAGGCTGGCAAATCCCTACCTGTGCTGAGCATCTCTAATTAAGGGCAGTGGTTAAATTGGGAGCAGACAGTAACCCTCTTTTTCCTCTAGGTTTCCATTCTACTATGAACTCAAAATAGCTTTTGTAGCTTGGCTGCTGTCTCCATACACAAAAGGCTCCAGCCTCCTGTACAGGAAATTTGTTCATCCAACTCTGTCTTCAAAAGAAAAGGTAATCACAGGTGCCTGGGTCCTCTCTGGGTGGAACAGAACTGTGGTGTGTTTATTCCACTCCCTGTATCGTTCATTTCCATTGAAGGGCTGGGAGTTGCTGATGCTTTTCCTCTATCATTTGATCCCCTCTTTTGGTTGGTGTTTTTGTTCTTTGTGGTCGTTGTGCTTTTAAATACTGGCATCTGTTCACTCACACTTATTAACTCATTTTGGTGCAGTTGAGAAGGTGGGAGGGAGGGGGGATAAAAATACTCCCTGAGCTGCTTTGCATGTACTGGCTGATTATAGCTGGAGTGCTCTGTTGTGGCTGGGTATAACAAACAGAGAAACTTGGTCTGGCAGCCAGGACTCCTCAACTTTGTTCTGCCCAAAACATTGTACAGCAGTGAGACAAACAGCCCAGGCAGTCTAAAATGGGCTTAGCAAGCACATGCCTGGCTGTGTAGTGTGGTGGAAAAAGGCATGTAGCCTGTTGGGGTCCTAGGTTAAAAAATGTCTTGCTCAAATTAAAGATGCTAATTTTGGGAGGGGGACATTACAACTTGGATCATTTGCCTGCCTGGTGGATTCCTGTGGCTGTGAATGGGACAGTGTCAGGCAGATCCATTTGGCTCATGAGAAAAAATGGACCAAGAACAGCTATTGTCACATACCAACATGAAAACTGCTGAGTGGGGAACTCTTTCCTGCACTGGCAACTTGCAGATGGAAGCTCTCCCTTTAGCCACAGGCAGGGAAGGAGCAGTTGGATCTCAGTCCTGTCCAAGGAGAGTGGGAATCAATCCCTTGTTTCTGCTTCCCTTTGTGCTTCTCCCAAGTGGGGCTCATGCATTTTGAGCTGCCACCTCTTACCTGTGGGGAATAGGGAGAGCAGCCAGCAGCTCCCCACAGCCTCCAGGCCCCACTAACCCAGCACATCCTCCAGCTGAGAGCTAGAAGTCCTAGCTATCATTGTCATCCAGACCCCAGTGTCCTGAGGGAGGGACAATAAGGGCAGGAACCTCCCCAAGTGGTTCACTGTAAATTGAGCAGCGTCAAAGTCCCGAAGCTCTGGGCCTACCAATCCCATGGGCATCTGAAGCTGGCCACTGCTGTGATGTGCAGAGATATCCCAGATATTTCTGAGGCCACCTGTCCTGGCCACAGGGCAGTGCAGCTTCAGCTGCCCAGTGTCATCATGTGAGTATTTTTAGCTATGAGGCAATCCCATTTGTCTTTGGAGTGCACCATTTGCAAATGGCTATGTGTCGCAGACATCTTTTATGAAAAATCTTTTCCTTAGGATTTTGCCTCCTGAGAAGCTGAGAGGCCTCAGCAACAAAATGTAAACATTGATTATCTGCTGCTGTGGAATGCAACAGGTAGATCTTTGATTAGCCCATGTTAGATGTTTGTAATTAATGGCCAATCTCAGTCAGCTGGCTCAGACAGAGAGTCCAGGCCTCAAACATTTGTTATCATTCCTTCCTATTCTATTCTTAGCTAGCCTTCTGATTAAATCCTTTCTTCTATTCTTTTAGTATAGTTTTTATGTAATATATGTAATAAAATTATAAATCAAGCCTTCTGAAACATGGAGTCAGATCCTCGTCTCTTCCCTCATCCAACTGTGAACACCATCACAGCTATCAGTTCATGTTGCTCAGGCAGATTTCTCTTGCTTCCAGGACCCCAGGACCCCTTTGGGTCCCAGTCTTCCATTTGTAGAATAAGGAGATCCCCAATCCTACAATGGGAGTTACTGCCCCCCAGCAAACCTTTCCTCTTTGCAAATGTTGGCTGTGAATTTCTTTCCAGCCACAATGGAGGAGATGGGGGACATCTACCTCCGTAAAGCATGACCTGAGTCTGAGGCTGGGAGCATAAGCCTGAACTTGTCCTTCTTGTGCTTTTTTAATTGTTTGTTTTGTGTTCTGCTGTGGCAGGAGATCGATGACTGCCTCATCCAGGCGAAGGACCGGAGCTACGACGCCCTGGTGCACTTTGGCAAGCGGGGGCTGAACGTCGCGGCCACGGCAGCTGTCATGGCAGCTTCCAAGGTAAAGCTGCAGCTCAGGGCTCACATCAACATCTCAGCACCCACTGACACCTCCTCTGCCTCCACTGCCAGCAGCAGCCCCAGTGTGGAGGGGGAGAGATGGTGGGGGTAGGGGTTCTCTCATCATTTTGTGTAGTGAGCTATAATTTTGTGTAGCGGCAGGAAAGAAGGTGAAGTTCATGAAGGGTACATGTTCTTCTGCAAGGCATTCACATAACATGACGGGTGTGTAATTCTCTGCTGGGATGTTGTGGAAGAGTGAATGGGATGTGCCATTAGCTGCTTTTGGAGGATGAGTAGTTATAGGATGAGTGGTCTCATCTGAAGGGGTGTATCCTGTATTCTCTTCCTGCCTTAGAGCCAAACCCAGAAAACAGCTGTTATCTGTTGTTCCTTTTCTTGCATGAAAGCTGCAAGGACTTGATAACTGCATTTTGGGCTCCTGCCCTCTGGCCATGGGCTATCATGGCTTAGAGTCGATGTGCACAGAGTGTTTTGGGGGTGAATCAATGTGCACAGTGTGTTTTGGGGGTGAGTTGGTGTGCACAGTGTGTTTTGGGGGTGAGTTGATGTGCACAGTGTGTTTTGGGGGTGAATCAATGTGCACAGTGTGTTTTAGGGGTGAATCAATGTGCACAGTGTGTTTTGGGGGTGAGTTGATGTGCACAGAGTGTTTTTGGGGTGAATCAATGTGCACAGTGTGTTTTGGGGGGTGAATCAATGTGCACAGCATATTTTGGGGGTGAATCAATGTGCACAGTGTGTTTTAGGGGTGAATCAATGTGCACAGTGTGTTTTGGGGGTGAATCAATGTGCACAGTGTGTTTTGGGGGTGAATCAATGTGCACAGTGTGTTTTGGGGGTGAGTTGATGTGCACTGTGTGTTTTGGGGGTGAGACTTGGCTACCAGGCCTGTTCCAAAAGGATAGTTGGAAACATATGGACCAGGAGGGTACTGGTAGTAGGAACAACATGGGAATGGGAGTTGAAGGAAGTTATTTTCCTCTGCCAAATGTTTTTCCTATGACCTAAGGCACATCACTTAGGTCTTGGCCTTACTTCCTGCAAAAATGCAGAATGCATCCTTGGGAGGCCAAATACCATAAAGCTTATAAAGCCTGTTGAAAGCAAGGTATTACAGAAGGGAGAGCCCAAAGGGTTTACCATGCTCATGGGGTCACAAGGATATGCTAGACCTAAAAATTGTGTCCTTTTTGCCTGCCTAGCATTGTGCAGACTATATTGTCAGGCCTGTCTTCTCCTGAGCTGCTGTTCTTCAGTGGGGAGACTCTTCTAACCCAGGGACTGGGAGATAAACCAAATTTGGACTGAAACCTGTGGTAAACATGGAGCTAGGGCAGTGCTGTGTATCATATGCCCAATGAAATAAAATTTTTGTGATGCCTCCAGGACACTTAACACTTTTGCTGCTGCCATGTAAGCCTGAAGAGTCATAAATAGGCTCTAGGAATGCCAGCTCTGCAGCACTGCCTTTGCTCTGAGCCCCTTCCTGCAAGGTGCTGCAGGCTGGCTGTGCTAGAGCTGTTTTTAGGACACACTGAGAAACTGTGTGTGAATCCCAAAGGAATTCTGGCTTCTGCCTAGGTAGCTCCTGAATATGAGAAGCTCAACAGAAACCCAAACCCACAGTGCCAACCTGTTCCCCATCAGGGCTGCAACAGTGTCTGCATCAGCTGTTCCCTGCAATGAGCAGCCAGCACCACAGTTTGACTTCCCACTGTTCCACTTTCCTGCTGCTTTTCTTAAGACTCTCTCTGCCTTAAAATGTTTCTCCAGTGGCAATGGGGAAGAGAGGGGAGAGTCTCCACAGTACAAGGAAGTTGTTGTTTTTCATAGTTGATACTCCCCTTTCAGTGGTGGAAGAAAACAACTCTGACTTCTGTGGTATTATTGTATTGCACAGCTTTAGAGAAAACTGTTAAGATATTGCAACCTGTGAATGGACCAGAAGAGTCTTTCTTGCACACTACTTTGGGGAGGGGAAAAGGATTTGTTAATAAGATTGAGAGGTTATTTAATAGATTGTTTGATTTTTACAACAAAGCAAGGACTATTCAAGTATTTCTTTCAGCTTTGACATTTAAATTATTCTGAATGTATGAGGAAAAAATAGAATCCCTGGTTTCCTTCACTACTTTGGCTTGTGGCCTCCAGCAAGTTGCTTGTTTCTGTGTTCCTGAGGGTGCAGCTCCAACAGAGAGTGTGAGCCAATCTCACAGCTCTCCTTCTGCAAAATGGGGGAGCGCTCCAGCTCCCAGGGTGCCCCAGCATTTTGGACCTCCTCAGGTTATCTCTTATCTATCAGAGAGTTAATCCTGAAAGAAAAATAAAAGGGTTTGTTCTGTTGAGCCCACAAACTTATCTCGAGTGGCTGAGCCACATAAGGAAAGGGAATGAACTGCACTGTGAGAGCATGGTCAGAGGAAAGGAAAGCAAGATCATCCCTTCCTGGTCTTGGGAAGCAGAGAGATTAGCTGTGCTGTCCAGGGGAGTACACCCCAGTCTGTTCCCAGTGTAA